GCTTGTGTTGGTTTGACTCCAAATTGCTTAAATCTTCGTTCCTTTGCCTCCTTTACTGTGTTGTTTCCATTTTCAGTATAAAAGTTCATGTGATGCGTAGCACTTAAGGACTTACTGATTATGTATAAGTTAGTATTCGTAAGATCGTTTCTTGAAAGGAGGTTTAGATGGAAGGAAAGATTGAGGGGAGAGCATGCGACCTTCAGGGAACACAGAAACAATGGATTAGGGGTATAGTGTCATCAGGGTTGAAGAACGTAGAAAGCACATGTTGAATTAGCTCACTCCAAATATTTGTCTACTTCACAATCTGCAAAAGCAGGGTCCTAATGCTTCATGTGGTCAGCCAGAAAAGGGTAGTGGTGGAAAGGAAACCAAAGGGTGTGTTTTAGTTATAGGAACTGATCTGCCTCTGTCCCATTGAACTGTGTCTGGTTACTCCTGTTGGTTGGATTTTTTAATTTTTTAAATGTTTTTGTTTTTTGGTCACTTGCTTTTAGTTGCCATGTAGAAAGTGCATTCTGCATTTTATAGGGATATTCAGACATATTTGAACATTTCGCTTGAGCATGAACTTCTGAAACAAAGGAGAACGGAGAAGACTTTGCTTCTATTTAGCAGAGTAACTCACTTCAGAGACTTAAGAATTCTTTCTACCCAACATGGTTAAATTTAAAATAGTTCTAAAATTCCTTACAGATCAGGAAGAAACAAAATAATACACAAAAGTTAAAATGAAAGCGTTGTCACCAAATTGGGAGCTCAGTATTACATTTTCCTTTGGAGTTCTGCTTGGTGGGGGAAAAGTCCTTGTTCACATTCCACCCAAGCGACCATCATCCACACCCACTTTCTTTTCAAAGGAAAACATTTACTTTTGTGACTTGGTCGTAATGAAATACAAAGGACCTCTTTGTGTGTGAAAATGAAACTGGGTGTGAGCCTTTTAAGGAAAAATTAAAGAAGGATGTGTATGTGGGGGGTGAAAGCCCCGAGTCTTTTTCAGCTGTTCCTGCCTACCTCCTACTTAGAAACCAGGCTGCCCTTCAAGGCAAGGCCCAGATGTTGTGCATCAGGGAGCAAAACAGCACCTCCAAAGGCTTGGAAGGCTCACAGATGAGGTGTTCAAACAGAGCCAGGCTGAGGCTGCTCACAGCGCTAAGGTACAGAGCAGATCTCAGGCAGGCAGCATCTAGCACACATGTTCCACACGACTGACATGCACTTCCTGGAATGTTTTGCATCCTGTTGAGATTTCCAAGCAGAATGAGAACTCTATTAAGAGTAAAGCAGGTTAGGGGCATCTGGATGGCACAGTCGCTTAAGCGTCTGACTTCAGCTCAGGTCATGATCTCATGGTTCATGGGTTTGAGCCCCACATTGGGCTCTGTGCTGACAGCTCAGAGCCTGGAGCTTGCTTCAGATTCTGTCTCCCTCTCTCTCTCCCCCTCTGTTCGTGCTTGTCTGTTTCTCTGTCTCTCTCTCAAAAGTAAATAAACATTAAAAATTTAAAAAAAAAAAAAAGAGTAAAGCAGGTGGCAGGTCACCTGGGTGGCTCAGTCAGTTGGGCATCTGAGTCTTGATTTCGACTCAGGTTGTGATCTCATGGTTCCTGAGATGGAGACCCGCATCAAGCTCTGCGTTGACAGTGCAAGGTCTGCTTGAGGTTCTCTTTCTCTCTCTGCCCCTTTCCTGCTCACACCCTCATGCTCTCACACTCCCTTTTACAAATTAATAAATGTTAAAAAATAAATTTATTTAAAAGAAGAGTAAAGCAGATGGAGATAACCTAGTTGAGGTGACTTGTTATGTGCACTGGGGGAAGTATGAGGGGGAATGGTACATTTTTTAATCCAGTACTTCAGGAGGGCACAGTAAATACTGAAAAAAAAAAAAAAAAAAAAAGAGATAGCATTCCAGGCAATTTCTGAAATTGGCTGGGAGATTCTAGAAAGCTTGGTCCCCAGCCTTTACCCCACACTCTACCCCTTCTAACACTCTTCCTGTCTTCTGCTTTCTCTCTGTCATCCTCAGTTAACTCCCTGCTCGCAGGTCCTTCCTCTCAGCCTACATACTTTTGTGGTCTAGCCTATTCTAAAACCAACATTCATTTCTCCCCACTGTCTTCTAGATTGTGCTTTTGTCCTTCTTTCCACTGCATATTTCTTAAGCAAGTGGTTTGTACCTCTGGCTTGGTTTGTTGCAAGATACTGAAGTCCCACCATGGTACTGAGACTATGCTACGGAAATTCATCAACTAGTCCTGTCTGCTTAATATTCATACCTTGTACGACTTGTCTTTCCCAGAGCCTTTGACACTATCCCACTCTGCTTTTTGAAAATTGATTGTCTCTTAGCCTCTTTTGGTTTCTCTCTTTCATTTTATACTGTGATCAGTTTATTTCTTTCCTTCTTAGCACCTGGTGATCTATATCTTTTTGTAAAAACTTTTAAAGCTTATTTTGAGTGGGAGAGAGAGAGAGAGAGCACATGAGCAGAGGAGAGGCAGAGAGAGAGGGAAGGAGAGCGAATCCCAGGCAGACTCTGCACTGTCAGTACAGAGCCCTACTCGGGGCTCAAACCCACATACCGTGAGATCAAGACCTGAGCCAAAACCAAGAGTCAGACGCTCAACCAGTTGAGCCACTCAGGTGCCCCTGATCTGTATCTTTTATCTTTGTCTCTAACACTCACTCTGCAATCTCTCTGTGGTTCGTCTGCAACTGTCAGATGATTCTTTGATTTGGCTGCACTTCTCATAATTCCCCCTTGTCTTCCCTTCTTCTGTCTTGGACTTCCATCTTCACTATCAGCCATAGTCATTCTGTGAAGGCATTGCATCATATGATGCCGCCTCTCCACTCCAAACCCTCAGCAGCTTCCTGTCGCAGGCAGGAAAACTCAACTCCTTGTGAGCTGGCCCGTGGTCTGTGCCCAAGCCGGGCCAAGGCCCCTTACTCTGAATGTGCAGAGTCTGCCTCAGGGAATTCACATGAGCTGCGCTCTCTCCTTAAATTGTCCTGTTGGGGCATCTGCATTTGCTGCATTCTCTCCCTAGAATGTTAGGTAGGTAGCTTTCTACCCTGGCTGCGACATGTAACACATAGCTGTATGGCTCCCTCTCTCTCTTCCCTGCTTTATTTTCCCCAAAAGACATATAACTGTTTACCATTTTATTTATTTTTAAAAATTTATGTTGTTTATTTTTTCTGCCCCTAACAAAATAGAAGCGACATGAAAACAGAGGTTTTTGAGCGCTTTGTTAATGGTCATATCCCCATTGCCTATTATAGTGCATGGTATATATAGGAGCTGCCCAGTAAGTATTTGTTGAATGAATGTATATTCAAATAAATTCAAAATTTTAATGTTGAAAATCAGTGACCACATAAGTGTTGGTCTCCTTCATGGCTTCATTGATCTATGTGTACATAGATCACACATTGATCTATGTGTATCCTTAGGCCAATAGCACACTGTCTTGTGGTAAATCTGTATAGTAAATGTTGAAATCAGATATTGTAAGTCCTTTAACTTTGTCCTTCTTTCCCAAGATTGTTTTGACTTTTATAGTCCCATTGCCTTGTTATACAAATTTCATAAACAGTTTATTAATTTCTTTCAAAGGCCATCCAGGATTTTGATTGAGATTGTATTGACATTTAGACATATATGTCTAGAGCTATCGATATCCCAATGCACACTCAGTGTAATTGCCAAAATGTGAAAGGCTGACAGTACTAAGTGTTGCTAAAGATAGAGGACAACTGTAGCCATTGCTTGAAGAATGTAAAATTGCACAGCCACTTGGAAGCCCATAGAATAGTATATTATGAAGTTATGCTTCCCATAGGACCCAGCAACTTCACTCCTATGTATTTACCTCAGAATATGAAAGCATATTTCACACACAGGGTTGAAAGTGCTTATGAGAACATTATTCATAATCCCCTCAAAATTGGAAATGCATATCAAAATTTGAATGGATAAGCAAATTAAGTAATACTATGCATTTTGATAAACTGAGTGGGAGAAAAGGAGTAATATGGATGAATCTCAAAAATATTACGCAAAATGAAAGGAGTTAGAAACATTAAATCACATAGTATATGATTTCCTTTATATGAAATGTCCACAAAAGACAAACGTGTAGAGATAGCAAGTGAATTAGTGGTTACTTGAGACAGAGGGTGGGGATTGGAGGAGCAGTAAATGGGCATGGAGGTTCTCATTGAAGTGATGAAAATATTTGACATTTGATTTATGGTGATGGTTGTACAACTTGGTAACTACATTAAGAATCACTTTAAATAAGTGAATTTTATGATGTATATGCCACTATAAAGTTTTTGAAAACTTTATGCTGAATTAATGATAACAAATACAATATGATTATATGTATATATATACACACCACATGATTCCATTTATATGAAATCCTAGAAAAAGATGAACTGCAGTTACGAAAGGCATATTAGTGGATGTCTGGGGCTGAAGGTCAAGTAATGTGGTTGACTGCATAGAAGCAAAGGGAAGCGTTTTAGGGTGAGGGTGTCTATTTTAAATTTTCAAAAATATTTACTTATTTTTGAGTGAGAGAGAGAGAGGCAGGAGCAAGGCAGAGAGAGAAGGAGTCACAGAATCAGAATCAGGTTCCAGGCTCCAAGCTGTCAGCACAGACACAGAGCTCAAACTCACAAACCTAGAGATGGTGACCTGAGCTGAAGTCAGATGCTTAAAACACTGAGTCACCCAGGTGCCCCTATTTTACATTCTAATTTGTGCAATAGTTACATACCTCTATACACTTACCAAAATGCAGTAAACTGTGCACTCAGATCAGTGACTTTTATTGAATCTATTTTGTACCTCAGTAAAACTGAAAAATAATAATCCAAAGCCCAAATAATCCCTGTATGTGGTTAATTTTGCAATTTTATTTCAGTTATGCTTAGCTAACATGTTTGCACCACATTTAAAAGTTCTAAGTCCTGCTTCTTCTGCCGCTCCTGGTGCTGCTTGTGTGCTCGTTCGGTGCGGACCTGGTACCTCTTTTGTGAAGCGGCAGCTGAGGAGACTCCGGCGCTCGCCATGGCTGACGAAAAGCCCAAGGAAGGAGTCAAGACTGAGAACAACGATCATATTAATTTGAAGGTGGTGGGGCAGGATGGTTCTGTGGTGCAGTTTAAGATTAAGAGGCATACACCACTTAGTAAACTAATGAAAGCCTATTGTGAACGACAGGGTTTGTCAATGAGGCAGATCAGATTCCGATTTGATGGGCAACCAATCAATGAAACAGACACACCTGCACAGTTGGAAATGGAGGATGAAGATACAATTGATGTGTTCCAGCAGCAGACAGGAGGGGTCTACTGAAAAGGGAACCTGCTACTTTACTCCAGAACTCTGTTCCTCCAGACCAAGAAGACATTCTCAATTAGAAAACCACAATTTGGTTCCACCACATCCTGACTACTACAGTATAGTTTTCTCTATTCTTTCATTTTCCCCTTCCCCATTCCTTTATTGTACATAAAGTAACTGTGTATGTGCACAAGCATTTTGCATTTTTTTTTTTAACTAAATGGCCAATGGTATGTTTTGATCGACATCAAATGGAGATGGGATGGGGAAAAATACTGGTTCTGTGAAAATACCCCCTTTCTCCATTAGTGGCATGCTCATTCAGCTCTTATCTTTATATTCCAGTAAGTTATTTTGCTCTCACTGTTTAACAAAAAAAAAAAAAAGAACAACATAAAAATCCTTGCATACCTTGTTCAATTGGAGAATTTTAATGTTTTTCATTTGTCATTGTAAAACCAAGGACAATTTTATAACTTTTTTGTACGTAGCTGTTACATGTAGGGCAATCTGTCTTTAAGTAGGGATAAATTACTCTAAAAGAAATGAATCCTAGATAGTTTTCCCTTCAGGTCAAGCGTCTTGTTGTTTAAATAAACTTCTTGTTTAAAATGAAAAAAAAAAAAAAAAGTTCTAAGTCCTAAAGCCTTTAGGGCTTATAGATATATTTGATTCATAAGACCACAGTGAGTCAGATAAGATGACAGAGTAGAGGAATTTTCTGGAGATTCTCTATCACTTTTTAAAATTAAATTTTAATGGAATTATCAAAAGAATAAAATAAGAAAACCCATGAACCTTTCTTAATCAAATGACAAGATTAAAAAATATTCCAAAGTTCAGTATATGTTTTTATATATCTCCGTTCCCTCCAAAGTGATGGAAAACATTACACAAGAGCAATAAAATCTCATTTGAACCCCAAAGCAACCATCAGCAAGAAAATGAAAAGATGAATTGTGATATATTCCTATTCTAGTTGAATCCTAGTCAGCCACAAAGAGGAATGAATTACTGATAAATAAGTACAACATTAGTTGCTCTCAAAAACATTTGGAATGAAAGAAGCCAAATTCGAAAATGTACATCCAATATGATTCCATTTATATCAAGTTCAAAAACATGCAGAAATGACTCTATGAGAAAAGAAATCCCAGTAGTGTTTGCTTCTGGTAGGGAAGAGATTAACTGTAAAGGGGACACAAGGGAATTTTCTCTAGGCATGACAGTCTTTTGTCTCTCAACTGCGTGTTGGTTACATGAATGTATACATTTGTCTAAACTGTGAATTTTACCATGTATATTTATACCTCAATGTAAAAACAAATTTAGCTCTCATGAAAATAGGTCTCTAATGTTTAACAAATTACAAAGAAACATAAAAAAGTGTAAAACAAAACTATACACACATTAAATTGTATCCATTTCTTGAGAAAGTTGTAGAGCATAAGAAAATTTCAGAAATAATATAACCAGACTTACAAGTAAGTTTTTAGGTAAGAATTGTTGACTATTTAGAGAGGGAATGTAAAATACAGTTATTAAGAAAAAAAGAGACTAAGTTCTACTAAGAAAAAATTCAAATTAGACCTTAGAGACAGAATGTTGGAGAAGTTATATAAGACTTTATTTTATTTTTTTAAGTTTTATTTATTTTATGTATTTATTTCTTTTAGAGAGAGAGAGACAGCATGAACGGGGGAGGGGCAGAGAGAGAGAGAAGGAGAGAGAGAATTCCAAGCATGTTATGCACAGTTAGCACAGAGCCTAACATGGGGCTTGAACCCACAAAACCATGAGATCATGACCTGAACCAAAACTAAGAGTTGGATGCTCAAAAGACTGAACTGACATATTAGACTTTAGAGGTCACATATTAAAGACAAAATAATGTTTCATATTAAAGAATATAAAATAGAACAGAACCAATATTCAATGATGTAGTTAAAATTTTCTGAAATATATAAAAATCAATGATACTGGGAAATGAAAGCACTTACCTTGTCCTATATAAAATAAGAATTAACCAACTCCAAAATACTCTTCAAGGAAAAGGCACAGTTGAGGCACTGAGTAAAGGGAGAGTGAAAAATGATTAATTTCAAAGGAGATGAAATATGTACAGTGAGGGGGGGGGGGGCAGATCAGCCTTTTAAGCAGCTAGGGCATTCCCGTTTGAGAGAGATTTGCCTTTTCCAGGAGAGGTTTAATAGGAATTGGGTTCTAAGCATGACACACCATCAGAGTTCAAGAGACTGCGGGTTTTTGGGGAAGAATTGGCTCTTCTTGTAAAAGACCTCTAGAAGTAAGGAAGAAGAACACTAAGACTTCCTGCTGAGTTTACAACAGAAATTATGGGTGCCTGAATGCAACAAAATAACATTCTTAAGCTACTAGAAGAAAGTAACTTTCAGCTGCTATTTATATACCCAGCAAAAATATCTTTCAAATATGAAGATGAACAGACATTCTCAAGAAAAGAAGGAAAATTTTTTTCTAGAACACATAAATTATAAGGAATTCTTTACACAGAAGGAAAATAATCACAGAGAGCAATTCAAAAATGCAAAAAAGGAATAAAGAAAAACAGAAAGAATGAATAGGTGTAGGAGAAACATATATTGATTCCCTGATGGCCATCCAAACAATGATAGCAATTGTAATATTTAGTGGAGTCTAAAATATCTACAGTAAAAGTGCTATGGAAATGCATAGGGGAAAATGGAGCTAAAGAGTTTTAAGTTTCTAGAAATACCAAGAAAATTATAAAACTAAAAAAATAATAATTTTGAATTGCAGTACAAATAAAGAACTACTATAAATAATAAAAGGCAGAGGAAAAGCAACTCAATAGATGGATAAGCACAATGACTTTATCTAACACATCATCAAAGAAGAGCACAATGACTTTATCTAGCACATCATCAAAGAAGATATCCAAATTGCTAAGAAAAATACTTGAAAAGATGCTCAACTTTCTTAGTTACCAGAGAAGTGCCATTAACATGGAAGAATAAACAAAATTAAAAGGCAGAAATGCAAAGAGTTGGTATGATTTGGCAAACTGGAATTCTCATATGCTGCAAGAGAGATTGCCACTTGGTACAACTGTATTGAAATACTTTGGTTTATGTACCACTAAGAACTGAGTATATGCTTATGCTATGGTCTAATAATTCCACTCTAAGATACACAGACATCTTCATAAGATATGTTGTAAGGTATGAGGTCAGCTACATTATTGTGGAGCAAAATGCAAAGTAAAAATGAAGGACTCTTTCCTCAAGGAGAGATTAATAAGACACATTTGTATTGTGGACTGAAATCTAGAGGCTTTAATACAAATCTCTCAGCATATTAGAAAGACAAAATAATTAAGCATACCTTTTTCAAATATGTGTGCATGTACACACACACACATATCATCTATGGCACTATTCATGAAATATGTATAAATCCTATGATATATTAAACTTTAAAAGATAACCATATACTCTAAAATAGTAAAAGAGATATAGACTATATTCAAATATACTCTCTTCCCTTAAAAGAATAAAACCAGAAATAAATAATAAAATACCAAAACTTTTGCCACTTTTAAATGTAAAAATTCTTCCTTAAGCCACATTGAGTTTCATTAAATCAAGAAGAAAATACCACAGTATCTTTTTTTAAAAATGTTTTTTATTTATTTCTAGGAGAGAGAGAGAGAGAGACAGCGTGAGCAGGAGAGGGTCAGAGAGAGAGGGAGTCACCGACTCTGAAACAGGCTCCAGGCTCTGAGCTGGCAGTCAGCACAGAGCCCGACACGGGGCTCGAACCCACGAACCGCGAGATCATGACCTAAGCAAAAGTCGGACGCTTAACTGACTAAGCCACCCAGGCGCCCCATCACAGTATCTTTAAAATAACAAAAGTAAGACACTACGCAGCATAGTGCTCAAAGGAAAAGTTACAGAGCTAAAAAAAATTCAATGGTGAAGAAAAAATTCATAAACACATTAATAAAGCATTAAATTTCTGAAGGTAAATACAAAATAGCCAAAATTAGAAATAAAGATGAAACAAATGAATACACATGACAAAAATGAATCTAATCAAGAAGAAAAGGAAGAAGGCACATATATGAAATTTAAAAATAAAAGGTGGAAATAGAGATATAATGTTAAGGTTTAGAAGATTCTTTATTTGACTCTATGCAAATAAATATGCAAACTTGAATACAATGGTTGATTTTCTAAGAAACCAAGACCAACTCCCACAAAAAGTAGGAATATTTAATAATTAAAATTATATAGAAGAAGTTGAGAATATTTTTAGCGAACAATCCTTTCCCCCAAAGCATCAGAACAAAACTGTTTAATAGGTGAAAGTGCCATGGAATAGACAACTTCAGCCTCATCTAAACTATTCTAAAACACGGAGAGCTCAAAATTATTTTTATGAAAAGTCTGACCAAGAGGATACAAAAATGGAATATTAAAGATTCACTTCTTTTATGAATATTTATGCAAATATCCTGAAATAAAATATTGGCAAATAATATCCATCCACAATATATCATCAACAAGTAGGATGAAGTTAACATAATGTATTATAATCATGTTACGGGGGGAAAATGATCATTTCCCCAGATGGTGAGTGAAAAAAAGAAATAAAATCCAACACCTATTCCTGATAAAGCTTTTATTAAATAGGAAGACAGGCTTTTCTTTAACATACCTTGTGGTATTTTTTTATTTAGAAAATTTTAATATTTATACAAGCATGTCTGTCTTAGGTACTTCTCTGTCACTATTGAAAATGCATAAATTCCTTAAGCCAGGAATATTACTTAATAAAGCTATCTTAAAAAGAAACTTTCATGTTTGAAAAAGGATGTGTATATACAGGTAGTTATTGAAGACTTTTTGTTCACAGATTTAAAAATGGAAAGGACTAAACATTCATCAATCACAAAATAGTTATGGTTTATTTATACTTCAGAATAATAAAGTCATTGAAAGGTCTGAGATAAAGAATTCCAAAACATATAATCATGCATTGTTTATTTTATTACAAATACAAATTTTATTTTATTTTATTATTTTTTTAATTTGAGAGCGAGCGAGCAGGGGAGTGGAGCAGAGAGAGAGGGAGAGAGAATCTTAAGCAGGCTCCATACCCACCACAGAACCTGAGTGGGGCTTGATTCTCTGACCTGGGATCATGACCTGAGCTGAAATCAAGACGTAGATGGTCAACCAACTAAGCCACTCTGGCTCCCTAAAATACAAATTTTAAAGGATGCTAAAGTATCCTAAGGAACTCTTATGGCCAATGGTTCTAAGGGAAAAGAGGGAAGTATTAGTGTCCTATAATTAAAAATTCAATTTTAGTCTTAAAA